CACACGCACGCACACTCACATATTCCACACACACACACACACACACACACACACACACACACACACACACATATATATACACACACACACACACGCACGCACACTCACATATTCCACACACACACACACACGCACACACACACACATACACTCACACACATGTTTACACATACTTATTTCACACACATAAAAGTACGCATACAGACACATACACATACTGTATAACCTCCTTGGCCGAGCCATAACTTCTGCTATTCGGAGTGCCGTCGGTGGTTGGCGGGTGCTCTGGTGTGGTTTGCTTCTTCTTTCCTATCAAACATCTATCGCCCTTATCTCCCCTTCTTCTTTTTTATGTTTGTTACTCTCTTTTGTAACACCTCTAATCTTCTGGCGTTCATATGACCTTAAGCAGTTGCGAGCGCCGTAAAACCTCTACTAAAACTAAAAAAAGAGTGCCGTCGAAATTGTTTTTCTTATACACTGTAATATGATAAGCCCAGACCTTTATAACTTCCACTATTTAACTTTCGTTATGTATTCACAGTCGCCGTCGAAAGGGTTTTTTTCTTACTTATATATGGCAAGACCAGACCATATATTTACACTACTAGGCACTAGATACAGTACGCCTCTCTCTCGCTTTGCTGTGCGACGGCAACATTCGATAGCGGCGTCCGCCATGTTCTTGGTGGCAAGCTGTGTGAAGGAGTTCATGCTAGGCAGGTTTCCTCTCTCTCATAGGCAAGGCTTGGCTCTTGTTGACTTTTTGTTTTACGTGGACGCCGTGATGTGCTATATTTAGATTACTAGATATCAATAATACAGCGTATTGACTGAATCAAAGCATAGGGGGCCTATGGAACTTTTAAGAAGAAGTATGAAAAGATGTGGGTGCATGGGAACCTCTCAACCACCCCATCCTCTCTCTCCTCCCGAATCCCAATTCAAAGCCCCGACCCCCCCTCCCCCACCCCACCCCATCCCCCAATTTATGTATTTTTCATACTTGTATTCAATTATTTTTTAACAATACCAAATAGTTGTGTTTTCTTATGTTGGTATCAAACTTTGGTTCATATTGGTTTTAAGAACTAAAGTGGCCATTTATAAAACTTAAACTAAAACTCCTTCTATTGCTGTTTTAAGTAAGTCTACTTTTGGACATTAGTAAAACAATTGTGACAACTCTGGACTCACTAAAGCTAGCCCTGCAGTTTTATGCACACAAAAAATGAAATTATGCAAACTGAGCCCAAAAAAGTGAAATTTATGCGATTCTGTTAATTTTAACAAAGAATGATAAAAGGAAAATAATCCGAAATTATACACACAAAATCAAATTTTGCTTAATTATGCGGGATGCATTAAAACCCGGGGACAGCAAAAGATAAATAGTTGAACTTGATGTTGTTTTGTGGCCTGGTCAATTGTATTCCAACACAGTGTAGTGATAACTGAAACACAAATCTTTACTAAGGTGTTTTTGGACAACATTCAATTAGACTTTCTTGTGGCCACTGTAACCGACCCACAACTTGTCTGCATCACTGGTGCAGGAAAAAAACATGTTTGTTCATCTTGTGACGAGAACAGAGCCAGTGTTATGTTGAATGTGTAACATAAAAAATACACTGCTTGAACACGAAATTACCTGCCCATTGTGAAAAAGATCTAGCTGCTAGTCAACCTTAACTTCACATGACCCAGAATCTTACAGATGGCTCTTTATTTTAAAAAAGCCCTGAGTAGGGTTAGCCCTTCATTTTAGTCGTAGCGCTGGGGGTTAGGTAAGGTTCAGCCATTCATTTCGTCTTAAACTTTGCGTTAGGGGATAGGGTTAGGTTGAGCCGTTCATAATAATATGTGATTTGATAGTAATAAATAGGCCCATATTGTCACTGCCAAAAATTTAAAAAGGGAAAATACATTACAAATAATTTTTGCGCTACTCAAATCATTAGATCTATACCGAAAATAATGAGCCATTCTTCTATTTTACTACAAAATTGAAGACATGTGACACTAAAATCTATAACATAAAGAGCCAAACTGGCCCCCTCCCCAAAACAATAACAACAACAACTACAAACAAACAAACAAAAATACCAACCATAGATGACATAACGAAAGAAAACAGACATCACCGAAGTGCATGATAGAAGCTGTGATGAGTTGTTTAAATTCATTCGTGCAACAGAAAATGCGTATCAAACACAGATTATAATAATATGCTGTGCATATAGCAAGCTCAGCATTAAGCGCAGTTTGGCAATGGTTTCCTTTGTCACTCCTATATCCATACATTACATCATACATGTATATTTTTAGACACGAGCAAGGTTACTATAGAAGCCTATTTTTGGTTGCTTCCATCCATCATCATCCTATACAAAATATTATTGCTGATACTGTTATATTACTATGGATGCATGTGCCAGGCTTATGACTGTTCACGTTTGATATCTTGAGTCAGTGACTTAAGTGAGTGAAATTTGTACCTCAAATTAGTAGATTTAGCTTGGATTTTGTGATGTTTAGTTAAACTAAGTAATTAAACGCAAAGGCGAGGCAAAATTGCCGCGGTTTGATCTGATATTAAGTATATATCGTGATCGAGAGGTTACGGTGTTTGTCTCTCATTCAATAGGTTCTGGGTTTGAATCCGATCAGCGATGGCAATTTCCCCCCCCCCCTAAAACTTTCTCCTTTCCTGTTCTCAAACAATGTTCTGTCATCTGCGTTCGTCCCCACCTTATGCCCTCACCACTCACCTCATTTTGCCCCCTCCTCTGGGCTCTTGACTCTCTCTGCAGCCTTTTTACTGTTACTCCTTGGCTCCTTCTTACTGCTGTCTTTCAGCCACACGCCTGATCTTCTGGTAGGAAAGATCTAGCACTTTGCCTTCTCGGACAAGGGTGACAAATTTCGGAGGTCCCGTGTGCAAGTTGCGCACGACAAAAATCCCTTAGTGGTCTTAAATCGGCCGCCACACGAGTATAATTCAAAATTTCCTACCAACTGAAAATGTAAAATGTGTCCTAATGAGTCCCACACGCTCACATGACCCTGTGCAGTTGCGAACGCCGTATAACACTTACCAAAAATAAATATCAAATACATCTTTTCTCCCCCC